CCTGGTCAGGTAGAAACATGTACCTGCTTCCTTAGCACCAAAGCCAAGACATGGCACCCGTCCTGTTGGCTGTTCCCCAGGTTTTGTCGCTTTTGCCCTTGCTAAGTTGTTGGCTTGTTATGTCGTCGTCTCACAGGCCGGCTCGCCCTGTCAATGCTGTTCGCTGATAACGTACCTTTTGACGGCGTCGGTATCGTGCAATGACAGTGATGCCCTTGTCTGCCCCGGCTTTGGTTGGGACCTGGGTTGGTATTCATTCAAATCAGGCTCAGGCTCAGGTTGGGTTGTGAGATGAGGTACCCAGACTGCGTCGATAATACGGTACGGTACCTCACTTATCCCATCCCATCCCATCCCTATCGTTTTGGCAATAGCACTCCCCTTTATAAACTGGCCGTCCGCCCTTTTCCCCGAATTGTTCTTTTCCTATCTCTTACCTACCTTATCTACCTTACCTGGATAAGTATCTGAAAAGGTTAAACCAATCTTTCATTGCCTCACCCTTGACCCTGGCTGCTTTGCATACGCGCAAGATCTTTCAGTTGTTTTCACCAGGACTCTTCTCATCCTAACAACAGCAGCCATTAGCCAGTATCCCGGCTGCCGAGATACCCCTTCCGTGGCGACCTCGAAACCTCAAGTCGGGGCAGAGAATTTGAGAAAGAAGAGAGAAAAAGAGAAAAAACATTGCTATCAGTATACGCTCGAGCCTAAGGATACGATATCCTGACCTGACGTGTATCACAAAGTCTACTGGGGCCAGCTCCATCACATATCCACAGTTTACGCAAGCTGCTTTGTTTCTATTCTGGTATGTACTGCACGGTACTTGTTGACTTTTAAGTCAGCTTCACCCATATCAATGAATCTTCTTCTAACAACACATTCACCCAGAAACTATAATCTGTTTTTTGTCTTCTGAAGCGAAAAAGAAACATGCCTGGTCAACACTCGTCCTCCATCCAGGGTGCACCTCGCAACATGAGAGTCGTCACTTCGCAAGACCTCCTCTATACCAGTATCACTGCTACTCTTTCCACCAAAACGAACCGCCCCTCAACTCCAGTCCACCATATCCAAGAGGATGACTATACCGTACCCGCTCCTCCCCCACCCAGCCCTGTTAGCTTTAGGCCTGAACATTGGACCTCGTCTGGCCGCCGTTGAGCTGCAAGCCCTTTAGCTGCCCGGGGAAACTTAAATGGCTCTGGCGAAGCCTCGCTAGGTACCCATGTAACCCGTCCATACTTGGAAATGGATAAGAAAACCTTTATTCTGTTTTGCCTTGGAGGAATGTTTCATTGCTTTGCTATTTATTCTGCTGGCGTTATCACGATATCACATTAGTGCGCTCCGGAGTCTTGGTACAGATCGAATAATTGGAGTATGAAGTGTTCTTTTTTTATATGCAAACCATCATGAGGACTGTGGATTTTGGATAATGGCGCGTTTTATTTGATCCAAGCAGCAAGCAACACTTTACAGCTAGGTATCGTTCTTGGTGTCTCTTTTCAGAGAATCAGTCATGTATAGCTCTCACGTGGTTTTTCTAAAAATATTGTTCTTTATTAATGAGGCTGGAGAGCTAACGGTTACTGCCGCTCTTGTATTATATGAACACAATGTTTCGAGAGATAGAAATGCAATCATGTGTACCTGAGGGATATTATGACATTTACTACTGGCGTACTGGGAAACAAAGAACGCTGATTGACCTGCTGGACCACCATATTACACAGAAAGGTTAAGCTGCCTCTGGACTACCCCAAGTACTCTAGACATATAAGAACGTGTGCTTGCCCATCAGGCCACTACATCAACATGTACTTGATCTAGTCTTGTAAAGGAACAGTTTTACTGGTAATACCCGAGCCAGTGTTGGGGGAGCATGGCTAGGGTTATGTACAAAGACGTTCAGCTTTCCCTTGTATTAGGAGTACAGACAGATTTAAACACTTATACCGACTTTCGAGGCCATAGAGACATACGGATGAAAATTTAGGGCACTTCGTTCCTATAGAAATGTCATCACGACCATGGAAGCATAGATCAGTTGTGCCTGAGGTGCTGATTCGTATCGACACCTCATACCAGTACGGGCAAAAATTGACCAAGGTTAGGTAACTAGGTACTATACTATAGTACTACATATTAGTATGTACTCCGTACTGTACCTTAAATTAGTACACGTAGCAGCTGAAGGTCAACATCACATACAGTGATACGGAGTACTGGGCCTCAGCTAGCTCAGCCGTCTATACTGGTCCGTGCACCACTTAACTTTATTCGCGAGTGGGGGGGAACAGCTTTACGCGTGTGAGACGCGACGAGCACGCCAGAACGCGTCTAGATCTTCGCGTTCCCCTTGACGACGGAGCACATTCCATCTTTTTGTGGACGTGACTTCCACTTTCCAAGACATCGCCTTTACTTTCCCAATCTTCTCAATTTTCTTCACTGCAACTTCTGCGATTGGGTCCTCTCACTTGATGACCACGACTTCCTTGCTTGCAAAGGTCGTTCTTGATATTTCGATTTTCTCATCTGCTCCTTCACTTAAATCGCTTCCTCACGTGTTTCAGCTCTCACAGAGAATTGAGGATGCCTCGACCGGCCAGGCGCAACCAAGCTGCACCTTCTGCTAGCCATTCCATTACCAACTTCACCCGTGTCTCGAAAGCTTGTACCCCAAACGATACTGCTAAGAAAATTGTCGCCCTGCCTGCATCTTCGGTAGTCACTAGGAAACGAAAAGCGGTCACAGATGGAGAAGATACCCATCCGAGAACCAAGGCTCGGACTGCCTCGTTTGCACCCAGCAGTGACGATGAACTTGCCACGCCTATAAAGCCCGTATCAAAGAACCAGGAACTGGCTGCGAGCCGGGCTGCGAAGAATGTGCCAAAAGGGAAGCGAACTGCGAAGGCAACTCCCTCAAGGGCGAGAGCTGCCCACAAGCCCATAGGGACCACACCTCTTTCTGAGAGCAAGAGGCAAGGAAAGACAGTGCAAACCAAACTCGACAATGTATTCAAAACGCTGCGCAAGCAGGCGGTCGACAAGGATGCACTTCCTCTCCATCTTGCCGAGCTCGTTGATATACATCGGTCGTTTGTCAAGACAATTATGATCCAGTTTGCTCACAACGGTAACAATTCACCTATCGACATACGCACACTTGCGCCACATATTTCTCAATCGTGGGGTAAACGCCAGGTCACTATCGAGGATATTCGACGATGCATCGCTATACAAACTTCGACAAAAACCAACACTCGCTCACCATTCATGATTGCCGACTATGGCCGGGGAAAGATATGTGTTGAGCGCTCTTCTGTCGACATGGCACCAATCCATGAAGAGCGTTTGCTGAAACAATTTGAAATCAATTTGAGAACATTAGGCACCGAACGCTCCGCCGATGAAATGGACATTGACCTTCCGTTGGATAGTCTCTCACTGAACGAACTACCCCAAGTGGAGATAAAGAACATGGACAACAGAACAACGGCGAATCCAATTCTCAACAAAGGTCAGCGTGCGTTGTCGGAGCTTAAGAGTGGCATTGTGACGAAGCAGCATGAGAAGGCAGCAAGACAAAACGCGGCATCCAGCAGCCCCCTCCTCAACCCAGATGGTACAAAGATGAGCCTGCTTGATCGGCTACGATTAAAACAATTAGCTAAAGCCAATGAACCCCTTCCCCCTTCTGGGCCCGAGCTTCAGCGACGTGCAGCCCTCAATCGCGTGGGCGATGTTGCAGCAACCATTTCAATGCTGAGCCTATCCAACCCAATGTCCCTGCCACGACAGGCTTTTACGATGGCAGTTATACTTGAGAAGCTCAAAGACTCTCTCCGGGTTCCGGTATCCAAGGAGGAGGGGGCAGCTTGCGTGCGCTTGATTGCCAGCGAGGTCGCCCCGGAGTGGCTTCGAGTCGTTACAATCGGAGGCAGAGAAAACGTGGTTGTGCAGCGTAGCAGCCAACCCGTTGATCGAGTACTACAGAGTCGTGTACAGAAGCTGTTGGCCTAGGGACAACAACGGAGGAACTGTGGTGTGCATGTTTAGATATGAGAATACCCTGGGGAGGCATGGCTTTTCGGTGAGACTACTGGACGAACATATACACAAGCATTGAGAGGAGTTGGCGTTCTAGCATCTGATTCTATGACAGAACTTGTATTACAACCTGGCGTTTGCTTGTAGACGCTGCAATAAGAAACCAGATTAGAAAGAGATCTGATCTGCTAAGCCCATTGACCAGATTTTTGTATCCACCTCTACCTTACTCTGTAGGCAAACGTCTCATAACGGAAATCCTAAACGGTACCCCCGAATAAAATGTGGATTCACGATGACCCGTATCGGAAGCACCATTCCGACCCGGCAGACCGCACCCGAACACCAGCGCCGATGTCCGGGTTATTCCCAAAACAACCCAAGATTCAGTGTAAGAAACTGCGCCGGAATGCACTCCGAGATCTTTCACAGTCACTTGCAAACGTCTCCAGTCCTGGGGAGTTGTCGCCCGTTTGGTTATGGGTGTTGGTGTTCGGTATTGGAGCTGATTGTGAATAGACTGCCATGTGAATATCACACACATATCAGCAACTATTTATGCATTGATGTGATCGATGACTTGAGGTTCAATGGTGAAGAAGAAGTGGAGAGGGGGTGATCCCATGCATGGTACTGCTTTTGCTAGGATGTAGTAATCGAGGGCTCTTGGGGACGAAGTCTGCAGGAGTTCCTCATGTGGAGCTCTCGTATGCTAAATTGCTAATATATGCCTGTTAGCTGCTGGTCTTTTCGTCCCGTTTGCTTCATTGCTCTGACTTCCTATACTTCTTTAAAATATTGAGTTGTTTGATCAATTTTGTCTGATGCGGGAATGTAAATCCACATTCTTCCCGGAAACCCAAATCAACATCTAGAGCCCAGTGATTACCATGCCGAAGACATTACATGATTCACAGGATGGAATATCATCATCTGCCATGAGCGAGGAAGAATCTTCCCCACAGACTACAGTCCGAGACCCAACCCAAGACGCTATCAACCGCACAACATCACACATATCCGGCCACGATGCGTTCGAATCGGCTGCCATCATCACTGCGTCAGATGGCCATGTGCCTTACCGCGAGGCAGGTGATGAGATCTTTGACAAAGTTTCCTCAAGACGCAAAGTTGCTATCGTGACCGTCCTGTCATTTGGGGCGTTTCTGTCGCCAATATCGAGCACTTCAGTGTTAGCGGCGACACCAGAGGTCGCGAGGACTTTCAACAGCACGGGAAGCATTATAAATCTTAGTAATGCGGCGTATATGATTGTAATGGCGTTATCACCTTTATTCTGGGGGCCCATGAGCCAGGTTTATGGAAGGCGGAGTGTAAGTGCTTGTGGTGCTCTGGTTGGAACCAGGAAGTCAACTCGTTCCCCAAGTCTTGACGGAGTGCCCATAAGAGCAGGAAGAACACTGACATTTTCACAGGCAGCCCTGTCCTCTTCGACTATTTTCTTCTTGCTCAGTCTGGCCACTGCATTGGCTCCTGACCTCACCTCGTTTATCGTCTTTCGGGCGGCTTCGGCGTTCGGGGGCACAGCCTTCATTCTCATCGGCCCAGCATGCATTGGGTAAGTTGCCAGGTTTTTCATTCTTCTACTTATAAAATGTCTCATGTCCTTGAAAGGACCCTGGGTCACAGGTAAGACAGTGAACCATCTTATTGGCGATCGCAACAATAACCTAGACTTGCTCAGTATTAATACTCTGAGCAACCAACCTCTAGAGTCTGGCTGCTTACTCAAATGGCCAGCTCGATCTTCAAGGAGCTTCAATAGCATCGAGTGCCCTGAGAGCCATTGTCGCTGATATGAAATAGTGACATCTACCGTCCAATAGAGCGCGGTGCAGCAATGGGGTGGTTTCTGACCGGCACACTTGTTGGTCCTGCATTTGGACCATTTTTGGGCGGTATCATCGTAACATGGTCTTCGTGGAGGACTATCTTTTGGCTTCAGACAGGACTGGCTGCTGCCGGAGTACTCGGCGTGTACTTTGTTGTATGCGAAACAGCTCATCACCTCAAGATCAACGATCTGAAAAGCCTCTCGGGCAAGAAAAGGACACTGAAGGTTCTCGGCATGATCAGCCCGATGCGAGTCTTGCGCCTATTCCAATTCTTCAATATTGCACTGGTGGCTTTTGGCAGTGCATCCTTAACCTGGAACATGTACAGCCTCCTAACACCGGTCCGTTATGTTTTGAATCCCCGCTTCAAGCTCGACTCGCCGTTGCTTTCGGGTCTGTTTTACCTGGCACCCGGCTTCGGTTACCTGGTAGGGACTTTCGGAGGTGGACACTGGGCGGACATGATGGCCAAGCGATGGATCAAGAAACGTGGAGGTGTCCGTATACCAGAAGATCGACTTCGATCCACCCTGCCTTTCATGGGCGCAATCATGCCGGGAAGCATGCTGGTATATGGCTGGAGTGTCGACAGGGAGGTTGGAGGTATTCCAGTGCCTGTTATCGCCATGTTCGTACAGGGCGTGGCGCAATTGTTTTGCTTTCCCTCGTACAACACTTACTGTCTCGATGTCATGCCTGGCCATGGGGCAGAGGTGGCTGCAACCAACTTCTTCGCGAGATACCTGGTTGGCTGCATCGCTTCGGCTGTAGTTCTACCGGCAGTCGAAGCTGTCGGCATTGGATGGTTTTCGACCATCTCAGCAGCGTATTTGATAGGCTCAGCTCTGGCGACCATGGCAGCAATTCGATGGGGGAAAGGCTGGCGAGAGAGAACTCAAGCACGGTTAGAGGGTCCCAAGGAAGATGAGAACGAGATCAAAGCCGATCATGATATGGATACAGATCGATCCAAAAGTGCTCAAATATTGGGGCCAAGCTTTGCGTTTGACGGGAGTGATCCAGAACAGCAGAGCCGAAACATAGGCCGTGAGACCTGATTCTTGCAAAGGAATGGGACTAAGAAGGGACATCTTGCAGAGACATTATTGGTCAGATGTAGGCGCGAGCTGTAATACCGAGGATAACGAGACTGAACGGCCAGTATTTGAAGTAGAACTGAGAATCTAGCAAGGGCAAAGAAGTGAAGCGGAGAGGTTGTTTGGCATTTCCGCGAGCTTTTACTTTCCTACAAATAGGGCTGTCACTTCAGGTGAAATAAGGTAGTAGAAAATAAGGGACGATAAACATGTTGCACCCATCAATCATCAATTCCATGTGATACGTAGACACAATCAATATATTATGATGTAATGTATCGGGGGAGAAATGCCAAAGTTTGTTGTTCACCCCAGCCCTCATTTCAGATGAGAACCTGGGAGCTAATAACAAGTACCTAGATAAGCCAGCCTTACAATATTTTTCCCCGTTGCTACTGTTACACTACAGGGCCGTGTTATTGCCACTAACTATCACCCATTTGCCTGAAAGATGTAACCAACCGAAAACTGTATCAACGCAAGCCATGTTGTTTGGTGACATCCTCAGAGTGGGAAGGGTGCAGTGGATGGAAGTGTATGTACATACATAGTGTAGTAGATAGATAACGCAACCTTAAACATTAGGCTTAGTGTTAGGCTTGCCATAGGCTCATGTATGTGCTCGTCGTTTTCTCTGAATTCAAGGTTACACAGTACTACCTTGGCCTTAACGTCTTGGCCTGTTAGCCTGTACGATACACAATAGGGTTTGGGGGGATGATACATGTTCGAACGCCTTGCAAAACGCAAGAATACTTGTTCTCTTCATGTCGAGTTCCTGCGTGCTACGCAACGCAGCATGGTGAGCTACCTTACACTAGTAATGGCCGTGAGATTTTGAGGGATTCCGGCCCGCAAGTCAATCTCAACCCCAGTTGAGTTAAGCGGTTGAGATGAGAGATTCCTTTGTAACTAGCTCAAGACGCCAAAATAAGATGATAACGATACAGGGCTGGTCAATTGCCGCGTGGTGACTGGTCAACACCAGCTTTTCCAACTTGGCCTTACCGCGAGACCCGCCGCCTTTGAAATGACCTTGCATAGCTTTGGAGATTGGATTCTCACAACGACTGCCTCTAACTAGTATCAATTGGGGTTGGGGACTTTAGGAAATGAACCACGACCCAGTCAATCATCCTCAGGTAGGTAGGTACGCCGGGAGGTAGCGATAAACATGCCAATTGCCAAGGAATAAGTTGATCAGAAAATGGCGGGTCCTTTTTTGATGTAAGTCAAACGCTCGCTTAAGAATACGAAGGCATCGGATCTCAAATAACTATCAAGCATATTCAAGTTAATAGAGAAACATAGTGGATACGATAATGCATTATACTTTTGCAACGACATCGGCACAACCTCAAGTAGACTCGGGAAACCCCCCACACCATGGGTCAGTTGCTCTGTGACAGCATAATCGCCAGCAAGACGTTACACGGACGAAACACGAGAACGGGGGCATTGTGTATGTGAAGGGGGTCTCCGTCGTGGAGCATCAACCACAGTGATAACTACCACGTTGCGTATCTAGTGCATCTCCAACAATAGAACATTGGATGCTGAGTCACGGACGTTTCCGATGGTTCTGTCCTGTCCATATCCACAGTAAACGTACGTACATACACACAACGATGACAGACAAAAGAATACATCGTACGGAGTAGTGAACGATGAGCTAATTTACAAGTCAGCGATTTGCAACGTCTTGGGTTTACTCCATAAGCAGAAAGAACCTGACTACAGAGTACTGTACCTTGGGCAAGGCGATGCATGCATCTTTAGAACCGGTTCGCTCGCCCCTTGCACGCACTAAAACGCCCAGTTGGTGACTTCGTGTCAGCAATCGAGCAGCCCTTGGCAATCTGTTGCTACTGGCCTTACGCCATGGTCCATCTGAGATAACATGTGCTGTTTATTATTGTCAGCTCTGCTCGCCAGCCCCTGTCGCTAAACTTCATTTGGAGGTGGCACCTGTGGCGCTGGTGAATTCTCGCGATGCAACCATGGCTAAAAGCTTGGCCAAAAAGACAGTTCAAACTTCAACGGTCATGGATTCTCGCCTCTACTGAATCGCAGAGCAGGTTGGTTGAGAATGAGTGAACTCGCCGTTGCTCTCCTTCGGGTAGAACCAACTACCTCAAGATAGGTATGCAGAGTATTAGACCACGACAGGCTCGATGGCTAATCGTGAGATTCTGTAAAATCAAATCGGCACGCTGGCTGACCCTGAAAAAGACCGACAGTGGGGGTCCATGTTGCTATTCTCAGATTATTGTTGACGTTGACATTGTCTTGGATCGGATCGGCATACAAGGCTTCGCAACCAACGTTACAGAATGAAGCAGTGTGCGTCAATCTCCAACAGTTTTACTTGATACAATTCTCCGTTATGAATGTCCACAGTCATAATAAACCATTTGACACCCGTGGAAAAGAAATAATTGGAGTAGACCCTAAGGACGCGTGGCGGGAGGACCCTCGCCCATCGTGTGTCCCTGTCCTTCGACTGGACGGAAGGGGGCGTGGCTGGGAGAGAGAATCGGGGTTTGCGTAGATTAAGATTCACCGACTTATGTCTTTAGTCTGATTGTTCAGTAAAGGATTCTAAAATCTAAACCGACGGCACCGATCTATATTGCAAGGAAGGGATTGTTTCAACAGCTTGTTGTCAATTCAGAGCTAATTTACTATCGATAATTGGAGTGACGACTTTTCGGAAAGGGTCGAAATGAGATGCCAACAAGCATAAAAGAGGAGGGTCGCTCTCGGCACTCATTTGCCAGTGAGACATGCCTCGAGCCCATTGACTTCCAGGCTGGTCTCTAGCTGGAGATCTCAGCATAGGTAGGTACACACTGCTTACTTGTACACCGCAGTGCGATAGGGACAGTTCCGAGTTCCATGCTTGATGCCTCGTCCAGGACACGAAGAGACAGAGCCGTACCGGCGATGGGTTTGACAGGCGGCTGATTCCATGGTCTCGAATCAGACGCCGATCAGGAGTTGCAGGACGCGCAACCACCGCCAGAGGCAAGCATGGCAATGTTTGAGCTCAGAAGGTTCATGATTGACAAAGTGCGCCATAATCAGCCACGAGAGCCTCTCCCTTCTCTAACAATAGGGGCGGACTGGCCCTCGCTGGGAGACCCACGGGCCCATGTTCCATGGAGCCCCCAGTGCGCGTTCTAATCTTTCTGATTGGGATGGAAGCGACAGAACGTTGCTGGGATATGGCGCAATGACAGGGGATGCAAGGCTTGGGCCAAGCAACGACTCAAGGCTTAGTTAGCTGGAAGCGATTGCCATTGATTGTCCTTGACAAACCTCGTCCTGTCCCCTCGTCGGTAGAGAATACGGAACGACTAGTGAAGCATCAGCAGCCCGTCTCCAGGACAGCGGTAGCGATGGCGGCAGTAGAACCGGCGATGACATTGTCCTGTCCACAACAGTAACGGCCCAGTTGATTGTTTACAACGTGGAGCTGCAACGGATTGGTTCCCAAGGCCCTCGACAGTACTGTATGTATGTATGTCAGATCAGCGGAGACTTGCCAAAATCCAAATTGCTCAGCCAATTGAGTATCAGATATGCCCCGAAGGCGTTTGATGTCGATCGTTGGTTGGATATTTGAAGGATATAGTGTTTTTCATTGGACATCTGTCTCCACCCCCGGCAACACCGTCTGATAATAGAGCGTCAAGGGAAAAGGCATTGTCAAGGCGCCCGTTCCATGATTCGGCAAAATCTAGGTACTTTTCGGTGCTGAAAGCGAGCTGAAGAAGTTGCCAGTGAACCACTTATTACCGTTTCTGGAGCTTTTGGTATCCAGTCTCTAAAGCTTGAACGGAGCCATGTTCCAGTCCTAATTCTTCGATGTTCTCCAAATGCCTGACGTTGACCCAAGTTCCCTGGGTCCCTTGTCAGTAGCGAGACTTGGCTTTTCTTTTTTTTTTTTTTTTGGAAGTACAAGCTTCCCTGCAGGCCTGGTCTCGAAACTGCCCGAGGTGAAGATGAAGACACCTTACATGTACTGTCCGCCATTCACTGTGCAGCGCAGGTACCGTTTGCGCATCCCCAAATTTCCTAGGGTCTCTGGTATCAGTGGTTTGGGTCATTCTTCCTCTCTCCTTTGAGCCCCGAGCCTCTCTCCCTATGGCCTCTCCTTAGCTCTCAACACAGCCACTGAGAAACACCTATTTGTGATCCGTCGAACGCTGCTCTTTGCATCAGCTATAAACATCCTGTCTGCAGTCATGCGTCCCGGGCTCTCCGGGGCATAGGTGAGGTTCCTGACTGCCTAGGCGACGACAGCCACCACCAGATGCAGGTCTAAATTAGAGAGGCCTTCAGTCAAGAAGATGGGTGTAAATAATACAGTACAAAATGTATCTACAGTACGGATACCTACCTAGGTACCTACGTATGTCGGAGATAGAAAGTGAATGTCACCTACAGAAGACTGTCCTTACTCCCTAAATGAGGTTCCATAGTAGCCATACCCCTTCCACTGTCCATCCTTCCCGGTCCCTTTAGCGGAGCCCCGTACCTAGCGGGCCCCATCCGTAGGTACATCCGAGCTGTACTGTGCAGTAGGTAGAGACCTGCCCTGAGTGCTTTCCTCCCTCGTCCCCCTATCGCCCTTTGCAAGGTCCTGGATAGCAACCCCTTGTCCCGTGTCCATAATCCCCTGCTCTCGCCTCTCCTCTCCTGGCCTGGTCTGGCTTCGCTTTTTTTTTCTCCCTCCTATCTCTTCTTGGTCAACTTCTTTTCTCTTATTCCCCCCTCCTTTCTTTTCCCCCTCGTCAACGCCTTCGCTCATCGCTCGGCCTGTTCGTCACTCTCCTCGACGCCCTCTTTTTCTAATCGCAAATTCGACAAGCACCGATCCCGTGTTGCTTCAATCGTTTGCGTCGCGCCGTGCGATTGTGCTGTTCAGCCTCACCCTTACCTCCTTTGATCTTACT